TGCGTGAGTGCTTGAGTGATTTGGGTTTTGGCGCCAAGGTGGTAGGGTGGGTGGATGCATTGTATGTGGGGGCGAAGATGCGGGTGCAGGTGAACGGTCGGTTAGGTTGTGAGATTCGTATGGAGAGGGGTTTGCAGCAGGGTTGCCCGCTTTCACAGCTGTTATTTGCTTGTGTACAGAATCCATTTTATGAGCTTGTAGACCGAGAGTTGTGTGGGGAGGGTGCTGAAGGGAATGAAGGGGGGGGGGAGGTTGTGGGTTATGTTGATGATACGAAGATCTTACTTAGTGGAAAGGAGGATTTTTCAAAGGTGGGTAGAGTCATCGAGAATTTTGGGGCCGTAACGAGAATGAGGGTGAACAAAAGCAAGTCGATGTTGTTAGAGGTGGGCACTTGAGTAGGCGGGAGATTGGGTCAGGGGTTTGGATGGAATGTCGTGGAACGAATCAAGATTTGTGGGATTTGGTACACAGCGGATAGGCAGGACAGTAGAAGGGTTAATTCAGAGGCGGTTAGGGACAGGGCGGTAGGTAGGCTACATGGCCTTCGGGCCAGAGATGTTACGTTGCATCAAAGGGCAGTGGTCGTGAATTCGTTGGCATACAGTAAGGTTTGGGTGGTGGCGGCAGTATATCCCTTGAGGGATTGTGATGAAATAGACATCCAGAGGAGGGCGTTAAGGTACATATGGGGTTATGGGAGGGCGTGGTTGGGACGTGACGTAGTAATGATTGGGGAGCGTCAGGGGGGATTGGGTTTGTTGGCATTGGGGCCCAGGGTGAGGGCAATTTATGTCAAGATGCGATTCCTCAGAGGAGGGGGCGGCGTGTGGGTGAGGTGATGAGGGACGCTCGTTGTTGGTGGAGTGGGAGGAGCCTGGAAGTGTGTGAAGATATGTTGCGGTATATGTTAAGGATTCGAGATGTGCGGCGATTGCGCATAGGGAGGCTGGTGGGAGTTGAGTATCGTCGGGAGACGCTGCAAGGGGTGGCTGTCTTCCCCACATATGAATGGGAGGTAATATGGGAGGAATTTCGAAAGCTAAGAATTCCTGCAAGGGTGCGAGAAGTGGTGTACAGATTCCTTATGGGTACATTGGCGTCAAAAGAGGTGTTGAGGCAGATGAGATATGTGAGTGAGGCGTTATGTGCGCAATGTGGTGACGTGGAAAATGCCTTCCATGTGGTGTATTTTTGTCCTTTTTTGGAAAATGTACGGGTGTGGTTAAGGGGTGTTTTTGGGTTACTGGGGGGAGGGGGGTCCTCAGGGCTTTACTTTTAGACGTGGGAGGAGTGTCTCGTGAGGTAGCGAGGAGGTTAAGGTATATAATGGTTGATTTTTTGTATGTTTCCTGGAGAATGAGAGAGGTGGGGGTAATGTCAGAATCAAGGCTTTAGCGGGCAGTTTTTACAGGTCGGTGGGTAGGAATAGGAGCTTATATGGGGGCCAGTGGGTTATTCTTTTTCCGGAGAGTTATCGGGGATTGACGGTCGCACGACTGCTACGGTTGGTGCCGGGGAAGGACGGCAAGGGGTTGGCTTCCGGAGGTGAGTGATGAGTAATTGGGGATGAATGTAGTAAGGAAGTGCGGTGATAGTGGCTGCTACAGTGGTGTATGTGAAACAACATTTGCATCATGTTCCTAAGATGAAGACGAAGCCAGATGTCCTCGAGACTAGACGTTTATATTCCTTCATAGTTCACAGGGGGTTTCAGTATGAAAAGATATTATAGACGTTGCATGGCACAGGAACCCAAGGTATAGCTTCTGTCGATCGACAGAGTCTTTCCTGAGTGAATGGTTCTGGGTTGTGGCAATGGTCAATCGATTCTCATTCACCGATCCATGTTTTAATATGATGTTTTAATATGATGTCTTTATGGAGCTTGTGTGTGTGTGTATGCGGTGTGTGTGTGTGGGGCGTGTGTGTGTGTTGTGTGCGTAGTCTGTGTGTGTGTGTGTGTGTGATGTGTCCGGTTATTGAAATAGGGCGTCTGGGAGCGAGGTGGAGGTTTCATTAGTAGGTTTACTCGATTCTGCAGAGGGACCAAATGGTAGATATTTTGGTAATAATGTGCACGAAATTTTTTGTGTTGTGAAAGAAGCGGGTTTTTTGTTTCGTGGCCCCAGAGACTAATGTATGATTCTTATTCTACTTTACTACTGTAGTAAGAGCGAGATACCTGCGTGCACCAAGATCATGTACTTACTGTTTATGTCAACCTTGTCAGTGTTAGAATGTTCTATGTTATAGGAGACGGCATTGAACGTTGCCCTATTAAGAGCTCATCTCTGATTGGAGGTTAATGAGGTAGGAATATATATACACATACGGATTAAAGGGATATTTTTTTTTAAACTGTTTATACTGTGTACCTTGTGTGTGTTGAGAGGAGGCATATATCATGAAAAAAAAATTCTTGCACTGTATCATTTATCTAGTGTATGCAATGTTGCATAAGATGTATTTGTTAAGGTATATTGGGTGTGGGGGTGCT